CCTCTTGATATTTCCACTTCCTAAATACTGTACATTTATTTGTAGAAACGCTCTGTTTCAGGAAAAATAATGTGTTCCTTTGGGGAGGATGTTTCATCACACAGCTTCTCATTACCGGTATGAAGTACCAAGAACCTTGGAGAGGGCAGGAAAAAAAATCCTTCCTCTCTAGGTTCTTGCAGCTTTCCTTTCAACAGCACTCCAGTACAGGCTGATTGGCTGTGGAACCACAGGGATGTGATGAAACAAAGAGTTCCACAGCAGTACAGAATCCAGATGCTTCTCTCTCAAGGGAAGTATAAGACATGACCTTGGTTGATCACTGGTAAGCATGCGAATTGCCTAGCAAAGCTCAAAAGTCCAAGAAAAAGGCATAATTTCCTTATTGATTTATATTTTGAAGCTTTTGTTATCATAATGTGATATGTGGCAAATTGAATATCTTTAGAGAAAGCTTAGAATAGCATGGAATTTTTTACTACCATAGCTGCTGACAAGTACCAAACAATCTTATCAATGTCTCTATCTGTAATGACAACAAAATGTTATGTTACACAATATGGTAATGCCTATAAAGCACTGAGTACATGGGATATTTTTAATTTGAAAGATGAGCTCATGATGGGTGAGATTTAAATAACCGCATTTTAAAAACTCTCAATGTGAAACTAAATTTGGTTTCCTAATGCTACACAAATTTGATAGTCATCAAAAGTCCTTCTTTACTCTAAGACAGGTTTTTTTGGAAAGGAGAGATACATATTAAAGAAACAGGATTCATCAATGATAACATTCCTAAAAGTTTATATCCGTAGATTCACATGTAGATAAGACCACTGCCGCTAAGTACATACTTTAATGGGTATTTTTTTAAAAAACCGTTTTCTTGAAACAAGGTGGGATAGGGAGGGAGACAAACCATAAGAGACTCTTAATGTCACAAAACAAACTGAAGGGGGCCCGGGGGGGGTGGTAGGGAGAGGGTGGTGGGGTTATGGACATTGGTATGTGCTATGGTGAGTGCTGTGAAGTGTGTAAACCTGGCGATTCACAGACCTCTACCTCTGGGGCTAATAATACATTATACGTTTATAAAAAAATAAAAAATTTGAAAAAACATTTTCTAAAAACGTGTACATAGTAAATTTTTGGACAGGTGAAAAATCTGAAATATATTTCTAGAAACAAGAAAGCCTTTCAACTACCCCTCTCACATTAATCAACATGCTCAGGCCTTTCATACAATAAATATTCTAGGTAGAATTTTTATCTCTTGATTCTGTGCTGTTTCCTCCCACTTTTTCTCTCCATAATGTAAATATGGTGAACTATGCAGACTATTATTCAATGTAAAGGGCACTTTTTAATTAAATTAATAATCTAACTACCTTTAAAAATTATGAAAAATCTGTCAGATTTCACTTCATATAGTTAAATCAGCAATTTAGTAAATTAACATATTGCCAACTACCATAGATAATAAACAATGAGTTGAAACATTCTGCTAACTTCTTTTTTATATTATGTATTTTAATTTTTTTAAGATTTTATTTTTAAGTAATTTCTACACCCAATGTGGAGCTCAAACTCACAACCCCGAGATCAAACATTGCATGCTCTACTGAGTGAGCCAGCAAGGCACTCCCATTTTGATGACTTGTTGGACATCATAAAATAGGTCTATTTTCTTTAATGGGAAAAATCATTTCTCTAACTTATAAAAGCTTTTCCTAGTTAGCTACAGTATTGCATGATTTTGCTGATCACGCCATTTCAATCTGCTGTCCACATACATAAACACAATTTGAACTATAGTCATCATTTTAGTTTAAATTTAAAACTTGTTTGTTTTAAATTAATAAATATGAAAATTCACCCATCTTTTTAAAACCTCAAAAAATCAAATCATTTTCAGTGCTCAGGGTGCCATACCATTCCTTGCCTTTATGAATACTAGATTTTCCCTGGCAATGTAAGTAAGATTTGGTGTTTGATTTTTCTTAACATTATCTCATGAGCATTTTACATAATTGTCGTAAGGTCCTCATAATTATCATAAAAGTAAATTGTACAAGTCACCATAACTTAATGGAGCATTTTCCTGCTCTGAGCCATGTTATCTTTCTCTTCTCTACCTCTAACCCCCATTTTTTTTAAACCCCCATTCTTTGGTACTACCGTTAACCACCACCATTTTCACTTACGCAGTTTTCCCCTTGTTTTTGATGTTTCCTCCTTCAGGTAAATTATCTGAAGTACAGACAAATAGATATGAATATTATTATGGCTCTTGTATTAACTCAGGGCTTTCTAAATTTCACTGCCATCAGTCACAATGTATGTACCTACAATTGATACTGTGACTTTCACCAGCACTTAGGTATCAGTAGTTTCTACTGGAGAGAGGGGTACTAATTTCACAGAGATGAAATTTCTGTAATTTCATACTAATGGAATCTCATTAGTATTATTTTAATCTGCATTGTTATTACTATTGTTAAATGCTTTCCAATGTTTGCTAATCATATTTCCTATAGTGTTTGTCTTTGGGGGTTTTTGGGGGTTTCAAAAAAATTTACATGTATTTTTTATTAAATTAAATATAATAAATAATATATTTATTGTAAGTATTTTGCAATGTGACTTTTTTTTTTTTTTTTTACTGCCAAGCTCAGGTAATGATCCTACCAATGTCTGATAAATAAACAATATCCCCATAATTGGATTTTTAAAAAATTATCTATTTAATCCATCTGGAATGTATTGTGGATGAGTATCTAAATTACTTTTTTTTCAAACTCTAATACCCCAACAATTTATTAAATACTTCTTCCCTTTGCCATTGCTCCATAATGCTCTATTCTTATACATTAAACCTTATATATAACATGTTGAGATTTTTCTATACTTTCCTAGATCTAGCAGAGTATCAAAAAAGAAATTATATAATTTTATATTATGACTTGAGATCTGTAATGGCTTTTCAACATTTAGAGTTTCTTTTTAAAAATATACCTTTATTCTCATTATTTTCCCAAACAGATTTTTATCATTCTATCTCCTTTTAAGAAAATGCATTTGAGGATTTTATTAATATTATACTCATATATATAAATTAGTGTGGAAGGCTTTGATAACTTTATTTATCTTTAAATCCAGAAACATAACTTATCTCTTTACTAATTCACCTAATTCTTTTGTAATTCTCAATGAACAACATTTTAAAGATATGTCCAATATTATACAATTAAGAGGCAGCATGAGGTAATGGAAAAAACAAAGACTATGGGGCGAGATATGCACATACACACATGTACCAGGCTCCAATCATGTGTGATCTTGGGCAAGATGCTTGGTCTCTGAGCCTCAGATATTTCCTCTTAAACTGAAGGTAGTAGTATTTTCAGAATTGACACAGAGTAGGGAAAATGCATACAAAGCTATTGGCGCATTTATGTATCCAAGAAATGTTAGCTATGATCATAATTTCCAATATAACATGTGCTTAGTACTTAATATTTTACCAAGTTCTTTCATGTATATTATCTCACTTGTGCTGTTGATCGTCACAAAACTCCACCAGATGATCATGTTGTTGCTATGATCACTATTAATACTAAGACCAAATAGGTATACATGTATCTCCTTTTAAATAAAAAACACAAGCTCATCTCATATCATCATGACATAGGTAAATGTATTTGTAGATCTCCAACATTACACAATAACCTTGTCCCTGAATATTTTATGGTTTTTTAATCTGTTATGATCATTTAATTGCCCCTTCATTATATTTTATATTAGTTTTGCCTGTTTGTTATTTTTTTTTAATATTTTATTTATTTATTTGACAGAGAGAGAGAGACAGCAAGAGAGGGAATACAAGTAAGGAGAGTGGGAGAGGGAGAAGCAGGCTTCCTGCTGAATAGGGAGCCCGATGTGGGGCTCAATCCCAGAACCCTGGGATCATGACCTGAGCCGAAGGCAGATGCTTAACAACTGAGCCACCCAGGTGCCCCTAGTTTTGCCTGTTTTAAGCAATGCTTTTGATTTTAGTGTTTGGTTCATACTCAACTGTTTTATTGAGCTCCTTAATACCCTCTTAAAACTATTATTAATTCTTTCGGTTTTCTGAGTTGTCACATTTCTGAAATAAATTCTATGTTCTAGAATCATATATTAATAAAACCAGCCACTGAATTGAAAAATGGAAAAACTAAGACTAGTTTTCTACCATGGTATCATGATATAGTAAAATCTTCCTGTTGGAAACATAAACTTAAGAAGATTTTTTAGCTATTACTAGTCAGTTTCTTTTAGCTTATAGATTGTATCACTTTAAGAATTCTTTCTCATCAGTCCTGCAATCTTCACAATACCTTTCATGACAGGGAGCACTAATGCTACAGTGCGGCAGAAAAAGGAATCCAGGAAAAGGCATACATCTCTTTATTTTTTCCTTGTGGGCTTTACATATTTTCCTTAGGGATGGGATAAAAGAATGAGTGGAAAGAAGTATAAACTGCAATGCACTTGCACATCTGGGAGAGTTTTGCAGGCTTCTCATCTCTTCACACATGGCTGGTGAGCTCTTTCTCATCATATCCTAGACCTTCCACTCCCAAATACATCCATTTTTTCCCCTACCAACCCAGAATACCATTTCAGCTATGGGAGGATGCATTTTTGTGCCTGGACTTGTCTTTCCCCATCTACTCTCAGGAGGGTGCTTATTAAAATTAATAACAATAAAATACTCTTGTTTTCACTGAGTCAGTTGATTAACACTACCAAATAATCCACTGCCGAAAGAATCCAAATACAAAACTCTACCGCTACCTCAAAGAGACTTAATTTTAATTAACCGTGTTTTGTTTTCAGATCAATTACAAAAACAAAACAAAACTAATAATAAGGGTTTAAAAAAAGGGCCCAAGATGATACAATTATTTTCACTGCAGAATCAGACAAGCAGCTTCAGGTATGGTTTCTGTACTCACGGGGAAAATGATTAGAAGTGGACGGATTGACACTGTCCCCACTGTCAGCACTTTCACTGCTGGAAACGTCATCGTCTGATTCCCGCACAGAGGAGCAGGGTGATGAGCCGTCAACTTCTTCAAACTTCCTCTTTAAAATTCCACTCATAGCTGCAACACTGTCACATGTATCTGTAACAGGAATGAGAGCAACAAAGCATTGAAATATTTGACCGCGAGATGTGTAGCCAAGGTCTCCAGAGTCATTTTTCTGTGGTTTTTTGAAAACATGAACTGAGCCTTTCTTTGAAAGGCTCAGTAAGCAGTTTTATTTTTTTTTAATATTTTCAAATTAACAAGAATTAAATTAAATATGAGCAACTGCCCATTTGGTTACCAAATTCTATCATTTTGTTAAACACACAGTTCATTTTAATGTACTATCTCTATTCTTTTTGTTGGCAAATTGAGAATATCCACCTGAGTCCATGAAGTTGTGTAATGAAAAAATGCCAACGTCCCCCAGAGTCCTAAATGATTCCTGCCTTATACAAAATTCATCTGGAAGAAACACAGATAAGTACGCAAAAACTTCAGAGTCGAGTTTTAAAATGCAAGAACCCAATTAGCTGAATACAACAAAGCCTATGAAATCGGTTCTAAATTTTAGGTAGTTTCCATTTCAATATTGCAATAAGATGAGATGTGTTCCCAGGACGATGCCTGGACACTGAAGCCCTTGCCACTGTTGCAGGAACTTCCTAAGGCTAATGACCTGAGAGACCCTGCTGAGTGGGAAGGAGGGGGGGGATGGGAGTGGTTTCTCCTAAATGCTTTCCTAGGATGAATGGGCTTTCCTCTCTCCTTGGGCTGCCCTTTTTCCACCTTCCCCATTTACCTTGATGTATGCACAGTCAGCTAAAGAGCATAAACTTTCCTTGCAGTGTAAGGATATTTCAGGGAAAAACCTATATAAAAATTAGCTTAGATATACATGTACATGGTCTTACATTGCCAAATTAGGTTAACTTCCCTGAAAGTATTACTAAGTTGATTCCACATATCCCTTCTTCCATCTTATTTACGTTTGCTGATTTTAACTCTCATTTGAGTTCGTGAAACCTCTCCTTTTCCTGCCAGAGTGTAGCCACCAGTCCTATTGACTGAGAGGAAGCAAGACTTAAAACTATTCTAGATACCGCCCTGAGACACGTCTGAAATCCCCCCCCCCCCCCCCCCACCCCGTGCAGATCACACAGCAACAGCCTGTCCAGGTCCCTTCAGCTGAGCCAGCTCTCCAAGATCTCATTCTGTGGTTTCTTAAGTGGGCTACTTGGGTTAGCAGCATCAGCATCACCTGGGAGGGAAACTGTGAGAAAGGCAAATTCTTGGGCCCCACTTCAGATCTGTTGGATCAGAAACTCCCAGGAGGCCATGCCTCGGTGCCTATGCACTCAAATCGGAGGACCATTTGTCTGATTTCTAGTCCGCTCTCCAGCAGCTCCCTTCCTGGGTTTTTCCTTCATTGGGGGTGTCGGCATACCCACCCTAGAGGGACATAACCCAGTACTCAAAACCTAGTCAAAACCTCTTCTTTCACCATCCCTTGTATGATTTCTAGTAAAATTAAGTACAGTACTAGATGTCTCATAAGTATTTATCATTTATTTCCATTTGCACATCTAACTTCATGGTGAGTAACTGGTATGTATATGCTTGACTCCTTCAGTGGAATAGGTGAAAGGGAGTAGGACATGTTACGTGCCCTCGAGGAGCAAACATTCACCATGCTGCCTCCATCCAACTGAGAGGACTCCCACATTCGTCTTCTACGGTCTTGTTTGACTAATCCATGTCTTTTACATGACTTATATTAACGATGGAGATAACTGATAGTCATAAGAAGGTATTGCACTGTCCACTCCCTGAGAATAAAATCTCTATTCTGACTCTGATTTTACCACTATTCAAATTAGCATATTATTTTCTCTATCTTAAAGAGTGTGAAATGCATAAAATGTTCATGCATATCTGAGCAGGGCAAGAGAAAAAAAGATATTTTAAATAAAGTTCTTGAAATAAAAGTAGGACAGGATATAAATTTTAAAATGGTTCACTTCAAACAAGATGCAAAGTAATTTATGAGGGAGAGACTCCAAGACACAAAGTAATACAAGATGGAAACCCATGTTTAAAAAGTACATTTTTATAATAAGGTACTGCAGTGGGAACAGTTAAAAACAATATCCTTTAGCTGCATTTCTCCATCCCATCTCTCCCAGCTTCCTTAGGAAAGGCAGATTTCTTAAGAACCAAGGTCATTCAATTGGACCACAGGGAACCATGTTCCAGTATGATAAAAAGTGGGACTTGGTACTCTTCTCAGGAATGAGAGGGGAAATTTTTGGAGGGATGATAAGGAAACTGAGAAGTCTCTCTTTCTTTTTGCTCTTATATTTGGGACTGGTAAGCAAGGGAGTTGAAGGCTGGATACAATTTCTGTCTACATATTTGAGACTGAAAGAGCCTGAGCTAGACACAGAGCAAAGGAACGAAGAAATGTCTGACCAAAATTTAGTCTGGGATTAGTATATGAGCTGGAAATTAAAAACTGAAACAATTACAAAGGGGCATAACTTTCACATACACCCATGATGCTGGTTCAGTGCTGAACCAGTCTTGTTAAGTGCAACAAGCAAGCATAGTGGTTACTTAGTTTCATTGTCTTTAAAAAATACTGCGTGAGTGTAACAAGATGTCACAACAAATTATGAGGGTCAAATGACCCATTGTTTATAGGAAGGTAAACCCCATCTAAACCCAAAGGTGGGGTGGTAAATAGAACAAGTGGTTTTCTCCTACATCATCTACACTATCTCACTGGGGTGGAAAAGAACACGAGAATTTAGGGGGAAGGCCCTTTTAATAAAGGAGATGCATAGACCTGGTTTGCTTCTATCCTGTACTGGTTCTCTCAGAATTCGAGAATGACGATACGTGGCTAGTTAGGTGCAGATACAAGGGAGTAGAATGAACACCTGTCTTATGGCTGCCATGGCTCCTTAAATATCCACTTATCATATTTTTGTTCCTAAAGATGAGGCATAATTAAACTTCATGGATATGAAGCCAAAGAAAAAGTGGTCAACATTTCAGATTGGCTTTATATAGCATCAAAGCCCAGCAAACAGAAGATAAATCTGGACAGGCATTAATTTGTTCTAAATATGCGAAGCAGAAAGTCTAAGCCTCCATAACAGCCATTTTAACACGGCACTGTTTTCCAATTCATGAAACATATGCTAGTCAAAAACATCACCATTTCTCATTTGGACTAGGACAAGAGCTTCCTAAATATTCTCTCCCATCCACTACTGTTTGCTTTCGATGTGTTTTCCAGGTTGCAGGCAGAATGATAAATCTAAAATGCAAATGTGATCATGTCAATAGCTTAAAACTCTTAAGTGGCTTTGGATTGTCTTAGGATGAGTCCAAAATCCTCAAAATAGCTTATAATGTCCTTAACAATTGACTTTGGCTAACCTCTTCATCATCATTTTGAGCCACTGCCTTGTTGTCACTATTTTAGCTCTAATAATCTCCGTTTCTCCAACCTGCCATTTGTCTCTGGCCTCCCGGCCTTTTGATATACCATTCTTTCCAATTTCCTTTCTAATGTCTTTTCCCATAGCACTTAACCATCTTTGAAATCCATGTTATTTATTTATATATTTCGATGTTTACTGCTTATCGAGTTCATCCCCTGCTAAGAGATGCAACGGAAGGGTCTTTGTCTTCTTTACCAATGTACCAACAGTCTAGAACAGTGCCTTAAATATTATAGGTGCTTAGTAAATAGGTGCTTAACAAACGGCTGTTGATGGATAAATAAAAACCTTCCATTTCTATACTTTAACTACTTTATCAGTGTCTGTTTTCTCTGCTAGACTGAAAGCTTCATGAAATAAAACTCATGTTCATCTTATTCACCACTCTGCCTCTTACTAACAAAATATCTGGCATTTTTGATTGAATGAGAATCAAAATGAAGACGAAATTGACCTCAAAACGTCATACAATTTTTTTTTTCTTTTTTGCTTGCAAGCAACCCAAAAGCAAATTCTAGCTAACTTAAGCACAGAGACATCTGTTGGAAAAATACTGAACTAGTTCATGCAATCTAAGATCGAGCTGAAATCCAAAATCAAAGGAAGGCAGGAATAAGGATATCTTCCAGGATTATGACTGTAGAAATTCCTTGATCTTCCCTCTAGAATACCACAGTTACCAGGTTTAAGCCCAGCAACTTCTCTCTTTCTTGCAGTTCAAGTTTAATGTTCTAAGGAGTAAGTAACATTTTAGCCCATCTTGGGTCAGAAGTCAGCCCTTTGATCACTCAATTGCACAGCCAGAAAGCAAACAGCCACTCAACTAGGTACTACTCCAGAGAATCTCACTCAGAGACCTCAATAAGTTAAACTTCATTTCAAAGCCAATGTTTTCTCCTTGTCTAACACTGATTTATCTTATTTTTTTCATTTATTAATATAGTCTGTGAATTCACCACTTGGACAACTTCCCCTCTCCCTGCCCCTTCATGTCCTTTCTATTGCCAAGTTTAATTAATAACCACTTTGTTATAAAACTCTAATAAGCATCTTGTGGTCTTGGGATATCCACTATTCTTGACTAACATATACCACTGCTCTCAAATTTTTATTAGATGTAACCATTGCTCAGAAGCCTCTGAGCACATTTAATGAAAAAGTAGTAAAGAAATATAAATGTTTTCCAACTTGTCCACCAAAAAAAAAAAAAAAAAAAAAAAAAAAAAAGAATGCCAAGGAGCTACACTTAGATGTTCTATGGTTATAAGTGCAATTCTTTTGTTTAATGTATTTCTGGAAAAAATATCAGAAGCCAGAAGGATGCAGACTGAAGTAAGTGGGAGAGCTTCGTTAAGAATGCCAAATCAAGAAGCTGGATAGAAATGTACATTTTAATGCATTTGGAAAAAATGACTGAAACTAACTTTGAGTATTTGTTGGAATCTGGTTCATATCACTCTCTTCTGACAGTGTAAAAATTTCATAACTTTCATAGGTAGCTCATTGAGTTCTTACTATCCCACTTATACTCATCTATTGTTTAATCCTGTTTTCTCCTTTCATTCTGTCCTGATTTCATAATAC